AAAGTTACTTAGTTGCTGTTGGAATTTGCAGGAATTCCACATATGCTGCGTTACCGCGAGGAATATCTGAACGTTTGAGCAGAACACAGTGTCACGTTCAACACATTTATGGGATGTTGGAAGTCAATAAATGTCTGTTTTTATGTTGTGATTCATCAAAACGTATGTGGAAAAAATTGGAGAATGGGATTATTTGATGGTAGCAAATTTTGTTTCATTTAAGTAGACGTATGTTTTACGTTCATAATCTCACAGACTGAGTGACTTGGATTTGACCTAGAGCTTTTCAACCATACCTGTTAATACACACACACACACACACACACACTATGCAGGCTGCAGGGCCAGATGTGTGGTTCAGATGTCTCCCACTGACGACCTTGCTCTTCCGCACCGCGTGTGTTGAATAGTAGGAGTAAAAAGAGTTACAAAAAGAAAAAGAAAAAAAGTTTTTTTTTCATGTCAGAACTTTGTTGACATACAGTGTCTCTCTCTCTCTCTCTCTCTCTCTCAGCCTCTTGATCCCGTTCTTTGCTTTTCTCCTTTCTCTTGCTCTCGTCATGTTTATGGAAGCAGAGTCATATTACACACACACTCTGAGAGTTTCTGCTTCCACCACAGGCTGGGGCTCGGCAGAGGGAAGGGGACAATATGCTGTGGAGTTTTATTGTCTGGGTGAGTGTGTATGTGGGGGTGGCCATGGATGGGGGGGCAAATCTCGAGAAGTCTGTCTCCTGTCATGGAATGCATCTTGCATTGCCCTGGGTTAACCCTCTGTGTGTGGGTGTGCACGTCCGTGGATTGTCCACGACTCTGCGTGTGTGTGTGTGTGTGTGTGGAAGCATGCAAGGGAGAGTAAGTGCTTTGTTGCTGAGTCTAGTCCTAATAAAGGGAGCTTTTGAATTGGTTTCCAAGACGACCGGTGCAGTTGCCTGGGATGAGATGTGCCTGCAGACGAGAGGGGCTTAAAACTCTGCAGCTCATGCCAGAGTTTCTGGAAGAAATTGGTCAGATATCAGTTGAAACTGGACTTCTATTGATGTCTTTGGTACTGAAACCCACTTCATTTTTCACGTTCAAATTGGGTTTAATATTTTCTTTAGACTTAGATTTAAAACGCTTTTCAACGCTTGATGTTTTGACAAAGATTATGACAGTAATCTGTGGAAGCTGTTGGAAAAGCCTGCTAGACGTAGTTCAAAACTTTTTTTTTTCTTTTGCTACTGCTACTACAGAAAGTGGTGAACAAAAAGTCAAAATAAGAAAGAAAACAAGCGAACACACAAACACAGACATGATCTCACGCTGAGAAAAGAGCTTTGATCTGTGTGTTTGTGGCTTTGCTCCAGCTGTCAGTTCTCTCTGACATCCTCTTGGACACACACGCAAAAATGTGTTTTCCTGCAACGAGTCAGACGGTGGATTCCTTATATGTCAGTGTTTGGTTGTTTTCCTTTTTTTATACATTTTATTGATTTTTTTTATTTGTTTTTTTTTTATTATTTGTACTCAGGAGATTGTCAGGAAGTACTTCAGCGTTGCCTCACGCTCTTCTGCAATAAAAGACAAACATACACAGTTTCCTGACTCATGACCCAGGTTAACTGTGACAGCTGCTGTAGCTTAACGTGAAGGAATCTTGAATTGTTTACTCAATTTCGAAGTCAACAAAATTTTTGTGGTGAAAACAGTGAATTCCTCGTCACTCACTTCCTTTTTTTTTTCATTATTATTGTGCAGCAGCTTCACTCTTCCTGCCATCTTCCCAACAAATCCAGGAAAACGGAGAAATTCATATTAACGTCTGACAACACAATGTTTTAAGCTAACGCGCATAACATGTACTCTGTTACTTTTTTGTGGTGTAGAGCCATGTACATATATATATACTTTACATCGTCGGAGTTTGAAGCCCACTTTTAAACGTCACAGTTTCACCAGGTGGGTCACGCTCCAGGACATGTTGATTGCTTAGATCCCCAGACAGCAATATATACAGGAATGGAATGTTGGATCATGTGTGCAGGGAGGATACCCAGGATTAAGATAGAGAGTACATACATTACTTTATATAAGTACGGTTAAAAGATAGTACTTGCATGAAACTCTAGATCTGGAAAAAACCCTCAATTTGTCTAAAATGTTTTAGGTTTGAAGAGAAAAAAGAACACGGCGTCTACTTTTACTCTTTTTGTCCTTCCTTTCCTTTCCCTCCCACGTGCTGCCCACTTTTCCAAATATTGCCATAAGCGTATTTTATTTCCACACGGTGACTACGCTTCACGGTGGGCCACATGGTGGATTAGTGGTCGGTGCTGTTGCCTCACAGTAACGTGGTCACTGAGTCTGCATTTCAGCTTGGACAGTGGCCATCCTGTCTGGAGTGTTCAGACTCTGGTTTCTCCTTGTTAGTCAGTAACCTCCACGGACACTGTCAATATTTTTTTAATGATCCATGTTTTAAAATATGATCCACTTTGTACAGGGTTGATTATATTTTCTTGTTTGCTCCTGCAGGAGTAACTGTTGAAAACAACAATTAGTCTTTGGGATCAATATTCTGATTCTGAC